AAGGCATATAACTTGTGATGGATTTTGCCTTTATTCAAGGAGAGTAGAAAAAAATGAATTGTTCATGTCTTCGGAGTTTTACCAGATAAGTATTAGAAAATGGAATAAAATATAAATTTTATTTATTATTATTATTATTAGATTTGAGTTTTGTATATTTAATTAATAATTAATATTGTCGTTGATCTATAAATTATTTGTAGATTTTATTGAAAACCAAAAATTTTAGTTATTTTGAATTCGTATCGTATCGAGTGTTTCAAATTGGATAGACGGGTAGGATTTCCATTTGCTTCTATAACTGGATAATGGTTGTATGCGCCGCGTTATCCGTTACTACGTCATGCTTAATGTGTTATTAATTATATTTTTAAAAAAGGCCAACCTTAATTCTTAGTGCATGCAAGTGGCCGCATAATGTTCAATTTTGCAACGTAATATGTGGGTTTGAAAAAAACAAATAAAAAAATAAAAGCGGCGGATTGAAGATGGCAGTCTGGACGGCAACTCTACCCCTATTTCTTCTTTGGCATGGAACCCTAATCTGTAATTGAAATTAGCATTCATGATTTAGCTGGTTTTTTTTTTTTTTTTAAAGAATAAGTGATTAGTTATTTCTACATTGGTTGAAACAAAAAAGTATGGAAAAAAATAGTGATGGATTTGCTATTATGCTGGAGCAGTACTTTTTACAGGACATGTATTTTTAAATTATTTTTTGTTTGTTAAGGCTAAATCCTTGTTTTCAGATTGATTTTCTTGTATTGAACTAAAACTTTTGTTTCTTCAGTTTGTTCCATAAACTATAAACTATTCATACTTGAATTAGTTCAAGAAAAATAGAAAATTTGCCCTTTTTTCAATTTTTATATTCAAATTTGAGATGATGATTTGGGGGGAAAAAAATCCAATCATTACTTAAGTAAAAATCTCAAGATTGTAATGAAAAAGTCATAAGCAAAGAGTATGAATCAAGGAAAAGTGAAATGGTATCTACCAAAAAAAAAAAAGTGCAATGTCTAGACGTGAGATAATAAAGTAGAAAATTTTGTCAAGATTTTTATGCCATGAAAAATATATAGAATCGTTAATAAACCTAAAAAAAAGAGATAGGAAAAAAAAAAAAAAGAAAAAAGATTGTAGAGCAGAGACCAGAGTCTAGAGTCCAGAAGCACCTGATTCTTTGCATTTTAACTTTTTGATTTTTGTTATTTAGCGGGGAAACGAAATGTGAACAAGGCAATTCTACCGTTACTGTTACTTTACAGCACAGCATCTACATGGACGCCGCCAGGCATTATCCCCTACTCTCCATCAACACACGCGCCACTAACAACTACTGCTCGAACTTTTCAAATGGCGACCAGCTAATTGTGCCATGGTTTGTGGCGCGTGGAACGTGGCCTGGCTGTTTTTTTCAGTCGAAAAGTTTGCAGAATGATTGCGTCACCCGCGGTGTGTTCTCGCTTCGCTCAAGTTGCGGCGTGATAAGACTGCGTTTGGCTAGAGTGTAAAGTTTTTCAGGTAGTACTCTAGTATTTAATTTCCCCCTCTTTTGGCTGCTTTCTGAAAACGCGTTTTTGTAAAGTGATTTCCATGTTTATAGATGTTTATAAATGGAATTATAATAATTCTTGCGTAATCCACCTATTTACTGAACATTTCCTTCAGAAGACAATTACAGGGTGGATTATACAATCCAAATATATAATCCAGTGAAATAAGTTCTTAAAGGTTTTTTTTATAAAGAAATAGATTTTGTAACTTATACGGTGTTAAAAAAAACACTAAAATATTTAGATTATTTACTATTTAATATATTATTTATACATTCATAAGATATTTTTTTTAACTTTTTATTTAAACTCATGTACACTGTGTTGATGAATTTTCCTAATTTTCAAGTTGTACGAAAATATTTATATTTGAATTCTGATATTACATTTTGATTTATGATATTTTTAAAAATTTTATTTTGAGCTTCAAGTTTGTTTATATCATAGTTTGGTCCTTAAATACAAAAAGAGGAAAGAAGAAGCCATGATCTACTTTAATTTCGGCTTCTTTTGTGATCCATTTTCCATTTATATTGCGTATCTTGATGAAAAAAATGTGTTCATAGTAGTTTTAAATCATAAAATAATTAAAAGAGGTAGATTAGAATCTAAAATAATTAAATTTTTTTAGTTGATTTGATTTGATATATATATATATGTTTGTGTGTGTGCGCGCACGTGCGCATTGAAATGTTTTTCAATTTTTATTCTTTTTATCAATTCTTTAAATTTTTATTATTGAATTGCGTATAAAAATTATAAAAAATCAATTATTAGTTTTTGAGTTTTTCGTTATATTGACGGTAATGAAATATATATAATATAATTTTAGAATTTAGAATGAACATATATATCAGATTATACTATTCTTGTTGTTTAAAGTTAATTTTTTTTTGTTTCTTATGAAAATTCTCATAAAATTAATTTTAAAATTTTTAATATAATTTATTTGTTAATAAATATAATTTATTTTTCTCTATATATGGATTATTGAATAAATTTTTAATATAATTTATTTTTTTTAACAAACACACACACACACAAAATATTACTCTTAATGTTTAAAATTGATTTTTTTGATTTTTCATTTCTTACAAAAATTCTCATGAAATTAATTTATATTTTATACATTTTTTTAATAAATATGATTTATTTTTCTCTTTGTATGAATTTTTTAATAAAATTTTAAAATATCATCATTTAATCTTTTTTATATATTGATATAATTTATATAATAGATTTTTTTAATTTTTAAATGAATGTGTTAAAAAGCTAAAAGTATATTTTAGATAATTTGTCTCAAACTTTCTAAAAAAATCAATTAAAAAAATTGAATTAACGTGTTTTATTTGCTTCTTTTTTATATAATTAAAATTTATCAATATTAATTTTTTTTTCAGTCTATTAACTTTAATGTATTTCTTGGTAATTTATTTGTTTTTATTCCACTAAGTTTGGTCAATGATGTTTGTGTATCAAAAAAATGAGATAATTGATTTTATTAGAAATTAATGATACATTTCACACATAACATCACTCAATTGCTATTAATTTTTTTAACATTCTAAAATCAATTTCTTTAAAATAAATAATTAAAATAATATTTTAGGAGAACTATTCAAAGATTCAAATATGGCTTTTTATAGTAATATTATTGATTATTTTGTGAATAAATATATATAAATCAAATGTATATATATATATATTTTAAATAATCTCATCATCATAATTAAATAAGAATGAAAAAAATAATTTATTAATTTTTATATAAGTTTTGATATTAATCGTTGCTTTATTTTTTTATGCAATCATATGAAAAAAATAAAAATAGAAAGGGCTTTTTTAAGAAAAAAATGGATTAAATATTATATTTAGATTATTGCATGTTCTTATTTAAAAATTAATACATAAAAAATAACAAATTATATTTTTTAACTACAAAATTTGAGAAAACATAGGAAAGAATAAATTATAAAATTACATAACTTTTTTTTTTACTTTTAATTCAATATATTTTTGCAAACCTGTAATATATTATATGGTATTAAATGCAAATTATTTTTTCAATTGATTTCATATGTCTTGTTCGATCTACAGCGCATCATGTGCAACCAATTAGTTAGATTCTAACCAATAACAAGAATTAAAAAAATATCTTATTTTACTTTTTTTTTTTATAAAAAAAAATCTCAATGTTGTTAAAAGTTTATCTAATCCCTGTTGATTTTCCTACATAAAAAAATGTCCATAAATGGATAATATTTATGACAAACTAAGTAAATTGGAAAATCTTATTAAGAACGATTATTTATGAATACATCAAAATGTTGTAAAAAAAGCTGTTATGCATCTGATGATGACTATATGAAATATATTTATACAAATTTGATAACAACTGCATAATCACATAACTTACTGCATTTTATGAGTATCATTGCTCCAAAACTTTCGATATATTTCATGATCCCCTGCCATTTTATGATCTTCAACAATTAAAAAAAGCTTAAGATCTTTAACTCCTACTTGCATATATTTTAGCATATCTAAAGTAAAGGCTTTTTCATTTGCATTGCATTATGTTTTAATCAATTTGACTTGTGGAAAATGAGTTAAAAAAAAATCGTATTTATAAAATCATTATCCAATGCTTAGTCGATTTGAGTTTAGTATTTTCATATTAAATTCTCCAACTTATTAGGTTATTTGTGAAAATAAGTATGCAAATTATGAAATTTTATATTAGTCTAAACATAATTATTGATACTTATTTTACAAAAAAAATATAAACACAAAAAGGAGAAGAATATAAACACAAAGAGATGTAAGAATATTATTTTTATTTATGATTAATGTAAATGTAAATTTTCTTTTATCTTTATGTTTGTTTTTATTTTCAAATAAATCCACAAAATAAGTATTAAAATTTTTCATCTGGATCACATATTTCCATCCCCCTCCAACTCTATCTTGGAATAAAATCACTCTAATTTGTTCTCACGTTTCATAAATAATATCATTTGGATGCATCTAAACGAGGGAAAAAAAAAATCATTTGGATGACTAAAAAACCAAATGGACCGACCCAAATTCCGAGCCTAAAAACTAACATAGTCCTTGATCTACTGGATACCCACTGCACCCCGCCCCCTACTGGACCAAGCGGTAAACTAGCTACTGCCCCTGGTTTTTATTTTCAACTTGCCTTCTTTCCTTTTCCCTTTCATCAGTCTCCTGATTTTTATCCCCTCTCCTAAAAAAGGTTAAAAACAAAAATAAATCTAATTAAAAATTTAAATGAAATAATTAACATTTGAGAAAAAAGAACAGCTGGAGTAGACCCACCTAAACCAGGAGTGGAGTACCTATAAGAGCGTCAACTCGCACTGCCTCAACCCCCTTTACTTTCTCTCTCTTTCTTCCATTTCCAACTCACCGCCACCACCCATGGACCCACCTCCTCCTCCTCAGCCTCCACCTCTGTCTGCCACCACAACCACCCCCGCCACCATTCCCACCCCCACTTCCTACCCAGACTCCATTGACTCCTCCCCTCGCTCGCGCAACACAGACTCCAACTACTTGGACGACCCACCGCTCCCTCTCTCTTCGAAACTCCGCCTTATGTGCTCTTATGGCGGCCACATAGTCCCTCGCCCACACGACAAGTCGTTGTGCTACGCAGGAGGCGACACCCGCATCGTCGTCGTCGACCGTCACGCAACTCTCTCAGCACTCTCTTCTCGCCTCTCCAACACACTCCTTAACGGCCGACCCTTCATTCTAAAATACCAACTCCCAAGCGAAGACTTGGATTCTCTAATTTCCGTCACTACAGATGAAGATTTAGAGAACATGATTGATGAGTATGACCGGACGAATAGCAACAACGGTTCAAAACCGTCCCGATTGCGGCTCTTTTTGTTCCCTCTGAAGCCGGAATCATCGCAGTCTATTGAGCCAATTCTTGAAAGCAGTGTGAAATCGGAGGATTGGTTCTTGAATGCTTTGAATGGAGCTGCTGCCGCTGGGTTGTTGAACAGAGGCTTTTCGGATTCTGCTTCGGTAAATTGTTTGTTGGGTCTTGATTACAATGATAGCAGTGATGGTTTAAACAATGGAAATAATAGCAATAATAACAGCAATGTTGATTTAGTTGGTGGTGGTGGTGGTGGTGGTGGTGGCAGTAGAGATGGGGAGGGATCGAACAAGGGAGTTGTAAAGCAAGATGTTCATTCTGTTCCGGATTCTCCTATGTTGGAGACTACGTCGTCGTTTGGGTCGACTTCTTCTTCGCCTTCGCTTGCGAATTTGCCTCCGATAAGAGTTCACGTGGAGGATGGTGGTGGGGTTAGAGATCAGAAAGTATCGGCGGGAATTGAGGATCAATTTGCTCAAATGACTGTTGGCGGCGGCGGAGGCGGCGGTGTTGGGCAGAGGCAGGATGATGGGTTTGTGGTTCTGTCATCACCGCCGCCGATACCTGTTTCGATTGCGGTGGCGGGTGTTCCTGTTGGGGGTCAAGTGGTTGTTGGTGAGTATCAGAATCGGGTTTTCTCTGATGATGAGAGATCCGACCATGGGGTTCCTGTTGGTTATAGAAAGCCGCCGCAACCTCAGACGCAGGTGCAGACTTTTATTCCTCAGAATCAACAGAGGTCTGGCAGTGGTGGTGGTGCTATTGATTTGCCTTCTCCAGAGTCAGTTTCTAGGTATTACTCTTTACATATTTATTTGAGCTTTAATTTTTTATTTAATTTGTATGATCTGGTTAGATTGGTAGATTAATTGCAAAAGAAATGATTAGATTTTGAATTGTGTTGTTGGTGTTTGCTTTGATGTCTCAGTGATAGTAGTCTAAGTAATGCTATAAATCGCCAAAAACCCATGTTATATCAAGATCAAATTGTGCAAATCCCATCTGGAGCCAACAGGGTTGCTGCTAACCCTGTTGATTCAAAGATCAATACTATCTCTGATCCGAACACTCGGGTTCAGATGCAACAACAGGTTCAGGATTCTGGGTATGTATTGCAACACCAATTCGATCAACATCAGCATCAGCATCAGCATCAGCAGCAACAGCATCAGCAGCAGCAACAGCAACAGCAACCGCAGCAACAACCACAACAACAGCAATTTATACATGCTGGTGCTCACTATATTCAACATCATCCCACAGGGGCAGTGCCGATGTCTGCATATTATCCTGTATACCCTCCCCAGCAGCAACACCAACATCACCACCAGCATCATCCTCAAATGGATCAGCAATACCCTGTGTACTATGTGCAGGCAAGGCAACCCCAAGCTTACAATTTGCCTGTGCAACAACCTAGTATCAGTGAACCAACAACTACCATCCCTTCTAGCCGACCTCAAACACCTCCCAATCCTAACTTGGTGCCTCCTCCCACAACTTTCAATCCCATGAGAAATGCTCCCATTGCAAAACCGGAATTGGCTGCTTATAGAACAGCAACACCAGGCGCACCACAGTTAGTTCAGGTCCCTTCCAGCCAACATCAACAGCAATATGTTGGTTACTCTCAGGTTCATTACCCATCCCAGTCTGTTGCCCCCACTTCTGCTGGTACTGCTAATTATGGTTATGAGTTTGCTGATCCTGCTCATGGTCAGATGTACTATACCCAGCCTATGGCACCCGCAATGCCTCAGTACCAAACCATGACAGCAGCTACTGCTGTAGGATTGCCAGAATCTTCTGCCCAGCTTTCCAGTGACAACATCAAGCAACAGATCAGAAGTTCACAGCCAATGTAAGTCTAGTTGAAACAGGAAAGAAGACACAATTTTGAAAGAATGGTGTGTGGTTTATATATTTCAATTTTCTGTTTAGCGTCCGTCTTGGAATTGGTATTGGTTTGTGTTTATGTATTTGTGGTAGATAATAAGGAACTCTGCTCGTCTTTACTCTTTCTTGTATGTCATATTGTTACTGTCATAGGAAATGAAAGTGGTCTGGGATTATACTGTAAAAGCTCAAACTAATATTGTGTGATTGTGCAGTTCATATATCAGTTGTTGAATAAATATTTACACTGGTGGTAAGAGCTTTGGATTACTTAAATCTATGTTTTATGCTTTTGGCTCTTGAGATATGAATGCTTAAGGCCTGGATTTTTTTGCAGATGATCTTGTTCCAGTCTTTTGTTTATCTTTGTAACTTAAACATAACTTGCAGAAACTCCCAAACAAATAAATTGGCAAATGTGAAGACAAAATGTGTTAGAGACTAGTATAAATTATATTGTAGGACCTCACCTATCAGTTTAAGTTTTTAGGTGAGATGGTCCTTTAATATGGTATCAGAGCTTGGTTGACCTTGAGGTCCTGAGTTTAAGTCTCACCATCTCTAATTTCTCAAGTGTTAAGCACAAGGCAATGTAGACCTGTGCAAGTTTCATGTTCCAAATGTTAGGTCTTTTCATTTGAGGGGGTGTGTTAGAGACTAGTATAAATTATATTATAGTAACTCACCTATCAGCTTAAGCTTTTAGGTGAGATGTTTCTTTAATAAAATGAAACCAGAGAAATCCTTGGCTAATCTGTCTCGTATTTGCTATAAAGTTCTTTTGGCTACTCACCCTTAGTGCTCTGTTCCAAACTGCATTTCAGTTGTGTCATGCAGCTTCAACTATGTACGAAAAGATCTCTTTCGGTTGTCCTGTTTTTCGCCTCTTTTAAGTGGGGAATCTTCTCTTCTGACTGGTATACTCTCTCAAAAATAAGCTTGATGCTCTTTAGCTGCATAGTTGATATTCCCAATATTGCATCCTCTTCTACTCTCATCCTGTAATTTAATTTCTGTTTCGATCAAATGTTGGTGAAAGTGAACTTGCTTTTTGATCTTCATGTCCTAATTTTAACTTTTCATTTTAGAGTTGCTTGGATAATAGGGGATCAGAGTTTATGCCATACTAATTGGTGAAGCTTTTTTTTTCAGTCTTTGAGTACCTTACGATGAATTTTAGGAGTGATGATGTTATAATAAAGACATATTTAGATTCCGGCCTTTACCTGTTATTTTCTTTCAATCGCTCTCTTCTTCTTCAATCATCTTTTCTAAGCTTACGTAGGTATCTTCTTTTCAATCATCTCTGGCTAAACTTGGTAACAAAGAAAGTCATGCGTGAAGTTGCATTCAAGTGGATTGTTTGAGGATGAAATGAGATATAAATATATGGCCTAGCCTAAAGTAGGGAACTTGATTCATGCTATGAAATTATAGCCATTATTTGTTTCTTTGAAAAAGACACTACCTTTTATCGACACTCAACATGATTGAATGATCACCGCCACTACATTCACTCTCTTGAAAACGCTGTTTTGCCCAAAAGCAAAACAAATGCTGATTTTTTTTTCTTTTTAACTCTCTTACGATCTCATTAGATCAGATCAACTTTGTTTCTATTGTTGGTAATAAGCCAAGCACCAGAGAGAGAGGGCATCATGTGTAAGCTCACTGATTTCTCACGTGACTATACTGTCACAGCACACTAGATTCTCTTTGTTTTATTATGCATACACTGTTAGTAGTTAGTTGTAAAACTATGTAATTAACGTACGAGGTTTTGTGTCCTGCTTTTTGAGATGGGAGAAATTAAGCTGTTTCATGTTTGTGTCTGTAATTATCAAGGCAAACACGTGTTTTGGCCACCTTTCAACAGTCGCAATAAGTTAAAAAGCAGCAGTAAAAGCAGGTACTGCCTACTTCCTATCTTTAGATTAAGCAAGGACTTGATGCTGACTCCACTCCAGGCCACCGCATTCCTTGATCAAAATTTAGGTTGTGGTCAGTGAGAAGAGATAAAATGGGATGATGATGAGAAGAAAGGATGAATACTTGCTTAATCCATCCATCAAATTTGGTTAACAAAGAAGGAAAATGATGGTACTAAAATCGGATTGTAAATTACGAGTGAGTAGGACTAGAAGAATGCTTATTTAGGTCTCTGTCCATTATAGCAAGTAAGGAAATTATCTCATCAGCCCCTTCTCGAACATTTTCTCTATAATCTCCCATTACAAGGCTCTGTTTGTAAAGAAGATAGACAAAAGAAAGGATGAATAAGATAAATTGGAAGGATGGGAATGTGGTTGTATATTGTAAATTACTAGGGGTTGAATGGTAAGAATGATAATTTCCTTTCCTTCTTAGGTCTCTATCCATGGTGCCAAAAGGGGAAATTATTTCATCCAAGCCATCTTGCTCGTGCTTCCTACCGTCATTCCTAACAAAGCGAAGACGCCCTTATTTAGTTATTTACAATAAGGGGTGGTCGCTCATAAGTGAAGGGATGTAGCTGGCTTTAATGAGTTCTGGTTGTGTATGCATTTAGATTGTGAATTCATTACATTTTACTGCATATTAATATGCCAAATAATGCTAATGCCAATGACCATGTAATTCAACAAACATTAATATGCTCATGCAGTTATTTGGAATCGAGCGCCTCTTTTGCAAATAATAATGATAATAATAATGTCTGTATGCATAACTGGAGGGAGTCACTAACATTTCAGAATGGCAAATTATTTCAAGTGGCTAAGCATCTTTTTAAAGGATTTTGGTGGCTCAGAGCAATAGATGGGGATCTTTGACAACCTGACATTCAATGTTCCAAACTTGACCGGGTCATATCTAAGGCTAGGCGTGCTTATCGAGAAAGCAAAGAAAATAATGACTGCGCCAACAATTCTCGTGTCATATAATACTTAAATGAGAGGAGACTAGAGAGAGATGTCCTTTGTTTTTTTCTACGGCTGAACATATAAAAAAATTGTCGAAGCTTTACATTTGATTACCAGGAGAGGGCTTCAACCTCCCAAGTCTCTGTCAATGGCTGGCTGGCTTCAAAGGTCATTTTATGAAACATGGCCTTTCGAAAATGCATGGCACAAATAGCAGCCTCCCTTCCGAAAGGACCACAAAGAAAGATCCAGCCCCGTCCCAACCGGCTGCTGGGTTTTCTCAAATTGCAATTTTATGCTATGACCATTGGTTAAGTATATTATTTGGCACACCTAATCACATAGTTTAAGAAAAGGTGGATAAAACACCCCGGGATTACAAAAACTAGAATTAGCCTTTGCATAATATCATTCTATAAAAAATTCAGGGAAAAAAGTTGGATAAGTTTCAGATTTAGATCGTAAGATCTTTGTCAAGCTGACATTGGACGCCAAACGAAATAAATAAATCAGAGACCTTATGAAATGTCTGTCATTAATCGATACACTACAAAATTGTTACAAGTGCATAAATTATTTTCTGTTTAGTTAGTAATCACATCAAACACTCTCACGCATCGATCAGCTCCACAAGAAGCAAGTTGCATACTCCTGCATTCTTCACTCTTTTCAGGGTTTCTCCATGACAGTCGATTCACAGAAGAAACATGGCACAATGAAGGATCGAGCCGTACGGCAAGATTGGCAGCTACACTTTTATCGATTGTTAGACTCCACAGTTCAATGAGTCCATTTTCCATTCCAACTGCAAGAAGCCCATGATTTCTTTGACGATCAATGCCGGTCCAAGACAGGGCAGTGACACTGCAGTTGAACTGTGACAGAGTCGCCATCTGTTTAACTGAAGATTCTTGCTCTACAGCCCAGATCTTCACTGTCTTGTCCCTGGAGCCAGTTGCAAATTGGTGACCAAATGGGTTCCAGGAACAAGACCATATAATTCTTTTGTGTGCCTCCTGTCTTCCTAAAAGCTGATAACTAATTTCATCTGCGTCTATACCAACAAATATCAGAAATAAAAAATTTGATCATAACATGCTATGAAGTATCATGGAGTCATGAATTATGAAGGCAGTCACTAGTGGGCAAGTTTACTCATAAAATTAATCCCATCATGTATCTGAAGAACTATGTACTTCCATCCCCAAATAATTAATTTCTGAGTTCAAATTATTGCTGAGGGAGGAAAATGAAATAAAGTGCACTAAATTTTTAATGTCGCATTTGGATGAAACAAACAAACATGGGAAATGCAATCCAAAGCCTGGAGAACCAGATGATGCAGTAGTACAAGTACTGAGTAATATGTCAATAACAGAAAAGCAATCATCCATGGGGACCAACTACGATGAAGTATGATTTTCTAGAGGTGCCTACAGTTTCTCTATTGTCAACCTTAATCTAGATCTTCAACACAAATAAAACCACAACAAACATTTCACTCTTGCTATTCACTTTCAAGAAAATCTCTCTTCTAACCACACACACAAGACACAAATTTCCATATAGCACATGCTTTACCATGAATTTAATCCACAAGTAGAAAGATGATGGTGTATAGGTTCCGGAATTAATATTTGGTAAATTTCAATTTGCCGCCACAAAGTTTATGTGTTTTCTCAATTTCACATAAAATCTTTGATTTATTTCAATTATACCCCACATCTTATTTTTGTTCCACTATGTAAATTTCAATTTCGTCTTCAAAGTTTATGGAATATCTCAATATAACCCAAAAAGGTAGAATGAACAAATTGAAATTGAAAAAATAATTTAATAAAGATATTTTTTCAATAAAACAAATATGATATATATATATTTTTTCATTAACACCATTTAACAGTCCTTTGACAATATAAGAATAAAGTTAAGTTAAAAACAAATATGATAAAAATATTTTTTAACAAAAAGTATCAAACACCTGGTTGTTGTTTCTCATACATACTTACTAGCATTTCATATCTATATTTTTATCTAATTTTCCATTAAAATCTTGAACAATTCTAAAA